GAGATGTTTTAAGGATGCCGATGCTAACCGTCGATCATTAAATATAGTGTTATTAAAGATAACAATAACAGAACGCAAAAATAACGAGACATTTGGTTTTAAAATTACGGTTAGAAGTGGATTCAGTTAATTTCTTTGCGCCACAGTAGTGCTCTGAGAAAAAATTCAGGTAAAAGAAAAATGGATGAAAGAACTCGTTTGTTAGGGCAGCGATTTCCATTCATTCTTTCAGAAAAATTCGCTTCCATTTCTGTGTTTAAATAATTGAATAATCTTTTATGTAAATAAATATAAAGTAATTAAAAAACAAGTGGGGTATTAATGTAATTAAGGTTGTTGTTGTTGTAAAATCTTTATTGTACATAATTTACATTGGACACTTTAAAATATTTAATATATAATGACGGACTTATCTCATAAAGGGATCTCTTACAGCTGAAAATAAACTCAAAAATAACTTAGTTAAAATCGAATATGTAATACAATAAAAAATTTATATCTACATATGTAAATAATATTAATACATAAATAATAAAATAACATTAATACAAAAATAAATAATAATATTAAACCTACACACATACATACACGCACACACTTATGCACACACACACTCACACACACACGCACACACATACACACGCACTTTGAGAATAAAATTTTAAAATATCTGCTTTAAAGAGTTTTAATGAATGTGCCATCTTCAAGTTATTAGGAAGTGAATTCCAGAGACATGCTGCATGTACAGTGAATGACCTGGCATAGCTTTGAGTATTAAAACAAGGCAAATCTATAATGAAGTCATTACTGCATCTCAGGTGGACATCAAATTCGCGAAATTTGAACCTTTCCCGAAGGTAAAGCGGATATATTGGATAAAAAAAGATATTGAAAAGAAGAATAAGAATGTGGACATTTCTCCGTAGCCTGATAGAAAGCTCCTTAAGTTGACTGCGATAAGCAGATAGGTGGTCGAACTTACGGAGGGTAGGTATAGATGTATCTAATACATTGGTTTTGCAGTCACTTAAGCTTATCAACAATCTCCTTTGTGGGATCTAGGTAGGCAACATTAGCATAGTCTAGGAGAGGAAGAAGAAGAGATTGAGCCAGTAACAGTCTAGTTCCTAAAGGAAGGAAGTTCTGCAGGCGCCATAAGGCGTGTAGTGATAAAACTGAAATTGCTAAATCTCAAAGTTTAGCAATAAAATGAGAACTACCTAGGGTTTATAGTTATTTACGTATAATCCGAATTGGTGTTGTAGCCATAAATTTAAAAAGAAAATATATTAAAACGAAAATTCAAACGTGATAAGAATTTATTTTTTTTGGAAGTCGCTTAAAAGCATATTATATGTACCTACATACATATCTAATTATTATAATTTTATATTTATTTTATTAAATTCTTCTGCTGATTTGTCTGCACCCTTTCAGTATTCTATACAAGATATTACGTCACGTTTAACAAAACTTACATAGCAATAAGTACTCAGTATCGCTGTAAAATTCTATCCAAGAATACAAATACTTTCTTAATTAAGTTTCGTACGCACAGTTCCTCATTAGGATTAAATAAAAACGAATATAATGAGAAAGGAAAAAGTCTTACGTTCACCTTATAAAGACTGTGGTATAAAGACGGTAGCTCTTTCATACAGAAGTACGCTAGTCGAAAGATGCCTAATTAATTTGAAATGAGCTTGTATGCTTGAATTACATTATAAGGGCCCACTCTTACTTCGTTAATATGCAGCGCGAGAACTAGCGGGGGGGGGGGGGGGAGGAGGAGGAGGAGGAGGAGGAGAGGAGAAAATAAAAGAGAACAGTGCCCACTCGGCGTTATGCTATTAATTAAAAGTATTATAACAGCAGAGGCGGCGTAACTTTCGCGGCGGGCTGTTCGTACGCGAACTGATTGAATGCAACCGAGTTGGAATACTGAAGTTTGTGGTCACTGTGAACAGGTTCTTTTTAATTTACACTCTATTTTCTGGTTATAGAGTCGAATATCACGGCGGTTTCGAGCACCGGCGAGGCGTCCGGTACCGTGAGTTTCAATTCAAAGCCGGTGGGCCGGAACAGTGTCGTGGAAGTTAAAATTGTAAGGGAAAATGTTTGTTTTCCATTTTACCCCGAGTTTATTAATATATAAGGCGTAAGTGGCTGGAATGTATGCATTTTGTGAGAACGGAGTTATTCGGGTTATGCCCGTGTTTCACGGAGGCCGCAGAGATACTTGTGGGTGGATTAGCTTGTAGTGAATTTTTAAGTGACTTCCGAGAAGGAGATAAAAGTATCCCGCGCAATCTACGAGTATAAAGTGGTCGTGACAGGACAATGAAAGTAAGCTTTTTATAACTTCTGACTGTGGGTTTTATATTTAGATATTATTAAGATATTTTTATCACCAAAATTTATTTTAATCTTGACCTAATTTATGTAAAATTAACATGGGATTATGCACTAGATAATGCCAAAAGAATTACCATCACCACCGTCACCAGAGGGAGACTTTGTACAAAAGTCGTTTGCTTGGATACCTCTGTCCCATTCGTGTTTCAACCGTGAAGCAGTTGTGTTTGCATGGCTGTGTTTCAGTTTGAAGGGTGGGATATGGCGTGAATTTACTGGGTACAGAGGGATAACACCTGAGTCCTCAGGAATGGAAACGCATGGGGGTATCATGGGCGAAACAGTATACTCTGTTATGTCCATGGTACTGCTCATGTCTATAGGCGTCGGTTACCACTTTCCATCAGGTGGGCCGTCAGCTTGTTTGCCATTCTAAGTTGTATAAAAAAAAGAATTAATCAAAATTCAACAACAATACAACAAAGTAGTACAATGAAGTCTTGAGTGAGTTATTTTATTGATTTGTTTTAATTATGTACTATGTATATTTTAAACTTTATAATCGGATACTGCTTAGTTGTTTGTATTTACACAAATTCATTGTTTATACAATTAAACTTTTTGAAAAAAAAAACAATAGCTGAGCCTTCTTGCCTGTTCTTTTCGGCTGTAATTCCGTTCTGAATGGGCGTTAATGAAAAAAATGACTATTCAAAAATGCCTAAATCTAAGTTTATTTGAATAAAAATATTTTTTTTATTTTTTTTTTATACCACTTTATTTAATTTTTTTGTAACAGTTTTGGTACTTGCAAAGTATTTGTGAGATGTAGCAAGATAAAGAATGGGATAAAACAAGGAGAGGGTAAGATAATTTAAGATCAGGAATAGAAGAAAAGACCTCCTTTTTTTGTTATTAATTTTGTGGTACATTGCAAAATAAGTGAATTCATCATATTCATTTAGGAATGTAGATAGACAGTTTTGCATAGTACAAGTGTCTACCGGGAGATATAAGTCGATAGTCTATGAAAAGAGGCAACAGTTATTTACAAGCTGTTACTATTTTTAGGGTTCCGTAACTCCAAAGGAAAAACGGAACCCTTATAAGATCACTTCGTTGTCTGTCCGTCCGTGTGTCAAGATCCTTTTGCTTAAAGTTGAGATTAATATCATATACTCAGGTATACAATCTCTTAAAGCAGTAAAAAAATTAAGCTTCTAAATCAAAGTAATTAAAAGATACGGTCGTTTATGTTCCATTTATATAGCAGATTTGACATTGGCAAAGAGAATCGAAACCTATAGGGTACTTCTCCTTGATCTAGAATCATGAAATTTGGCAAGAAGCAATGTCATGTAGCACAAGTAAGGGGGAAAATCCGAAAACCGTAAATTGGTAGTTATTTCACAAAAAAATTTAAACTTGATGATTTTGTACGGAACCCCTGTCGCGAGATTTCGACTCGCACTTGACTGGCTTTTTTTTAATTGATTTGCATCGAGTGTTACCTCAATTGCTCCCCTCATATATTACGTGTGACAACAAATATATCTTTTCGTTGCTTGATTTATGGTTTATAGAGGTAAAAAATAACGTGTTTCTATACGTAAAATGCATATTAATTTATCTTGACGTTTTCATCAGGTTAAAAAGGCTGCACTTATGTGCTGCCCGATGATTTATTACTTTGTTTATATGATAATAATAATAACGAAATCATTCTAATCATTTTGTCGGTGAACAGTCTTATCCCAACTAGTCTAGAAGAATATCTCAGACGGTTTGAATTCCGAGGCGGCTCACTCCCGGGAAAGATGCAGAAAGCGGTGTTCTTAGATTCTGCCCGCATTGTACGCCGGTTTCTCTCCCTGGGGCCCTGAACCCCGGCCGACTGTGCTTATGCCGGGGGTTAGTTTGCCATCTCCTCTCCTCAAGAGGGGAGATGCGAATTTTGTAAAAATTAAAAAAATAATAAAATTTTCAAAAGGAGATAAAGAGGTGTTTCTTCAGGGCCCGCAGAGTGAGAGAGAGTATATTATGGTTTGTTCAAGGTTGGCAATGCGCACGTGACACCCCTAGTATTGCAGGTATTCATAGACAGTGACCGTTTACCATCAGGCGGGCTGTATACTTGCTTGCCACTTTTGTGGTATAGAAAAAATTATATAGTCAGTTTATTTGTTTCTTATAAATTGACGTTTTACCGAATCAATCGATTACCTTGAAATTGGATATATATTTGTATTTGGGGTGGGAAAGAATGTAGGCTAAAGTTTTTCTCGAGTATTCAACATAATTCCGGTCATGCAGACAAAGTTGCGGGTAAAAACTAGTATAATATCTATAAAAAGGTTGAAGTAAAACAATCACATTGATGAATATCACTGTCCACTGCTGGACACAAGCCTCCCCCTTAGGGGGTTTTGCCAGTAGTTGTTACGCTTAGAAGACGGATTGGTTTCCGAAGTTAGGCTTTAGAGATGTTTTAAGAGGGATGCTGTTGCTGATCCCTCGCCCTCCCTTAGTTGCCTCTTACGACACCCATGGGAAAGGAAGGGGTGGCCTATTCTATGCCGGGACTACACGACTTTGTGAATATAAAGGAATAGAATTAAAGACTAGTATAAAACGATATTACTTACAATCGGCCAAGTTGATTTTCGCCCGGTACCCCGCGAAGTGCCTCGAGTGGTCCGCCCTGAAGCGCAGCCTGAGCACGTTACCCCTCGAATGGTACCTGAGCAGCTTGAGTTTCCCGCCCCAGTCGCCGCACAGGCGGCGCGCATGACTCAAGTGCGAGTCGCGCGCCCAGCCCGCACTGATCGCGTCTGACTCAGGTAATAATGTCTCGGTTTCCTCCCATACCTGAGTGACGAGAAATAAATAATAATACAGGGGGGATCGAAATCATAACTATCATTGCTAAGAGAACGTTCAATTGATAAAATTGAATATATTTTCAGAAAATCTTTTATCATCGTACCGTTCACTATCGACAGGGAATTCATCTTTATACCTACATAGGCTTAATAGACTACAAGTCCATGGAAAAAAAAACCTGTAAAATGAACCAATATAAATAACGCTTAGAAGGTTGTTACTATATCAGAAAATAACTCTGAGCACTATGCCGTCATTTCTGAGCGGTACAGGTGACTACGGGAATAAATGGAATTTCTCAGGTATGATTGAGGAATTACGACTAACTAATAAAGTTTTTTTTTATACCACTGAGGTGGCAAACAAGCATACGGCCCACCTGATGGTAAACGGTTACCGCAGCCTATGAACGCCTGCAATACCAGAGGTATTACGCGCGCGTTGCCGACCCTGAAGAAATCTCTTTACCCCCCTTTTGAAGAACCTCATGCTGTAGTCTCTTGGGAAAACTTCGGCAGGGAGCTCATTCTATAACCTGAGTGTTCGTGGGAGAAAGCATCTCTGAAACCGCGCTGTACGCGACCATTTAGGCTGTAAGGTATGAGGGTGAACTCCCTGTCGATGGCGACTTTCTTATAGTTTATAGATGATTAAAAATAAATGTCGAAAAACCAAGTGCCGTACTAAAGTGGTGGTGCCGGAAGTCAGTGCAAATTTTTAATCCGCCGATAATTGAGGAAGCAATATGGTCATTTATTATTGTACGGCATCTGTGTAATTCCTTTTGTATACATACACAGTTACTTTACCCATGAACGCCGTACATATTTCTAGCGCAAGAGTCCAAAGCTAAGGGTCGCAACCTTTTCCCTACACCCATATGATATAAGGTCATTGTAAAATGTACGGCATTGTGTTCAAAATATTATTTACCACGGACAATAATGTTTAATAATTATGGCGTCCAAAAATTATTGTCAATATTTGTGTAAATAAATAATTATCTAAATTTTAGGATTCACCGAGCTATTACTGCTATAAGATCTTAAACTCATGTACGACAGAATCTCTTTCTTTTTGAAGTCGTTTGAAAAGTTTATAAGTAACTTACGCTTTGCTTAAACATAGATATTTTAATCCCATAACTCTGTCTCGTATTATTATACTTAACAATTAGATTAAACTGAAACTGCGCAGAGATGTTGCATCTCTGTGCATCTTCTACCAAATTTATCATGGGGAGTGTTCTAAGGAATTGTTCGGATTGATACCTGCTGCTGATTTTCACCATCGTACAACCCGCCATAAACTAAAATTTCATCCCAAACATCTGGACGAGTGGCGGTCCTCCACCGTGCGTTTTTTAAGGCACTTTCTCCCACGCACAACCACTCTTGGGAATCAACTTCCAGAAGCAGTATTTCCGAACCGATACGACAACATAACCTTCAAGAAAAAAGCATATTCCTTTTTAAAAGGCCGGCAGCACACCTGCAATGCAGTAGGTGTTGGGGTGACCATGGGCGGTGGTAGAAAAAAAAAAACAAAATTCTTACTTCATTCTCTGACGCGAAACTCTCGTGGTGATCTTCCAGAAGCCACTCCTCGGGAGCCGGCTCCGTTGTGTTGTCGACGCGTGCTTCTATGATCTCCAAGAAGTCGTAGCTGCAACTGTAACAAACGCAAATATTTATTTATCTTATTAAACTTCATTGTATCTAGATAGGAAAATTTTAAAACAACGATAGGAATAATAACGGGTCATTGCTCCTTGTATCTTTATTCAGGCCCTTGCGCAATGTCAATAAAAATTTACAATAAAATGCCAATTAACTTAAAAGGCGAGGATGATTCTAAAAAGTTTAAAATAGCTCTAAAAAAATATTTAATCACAAAAACTTCCAGGGTTCATGTTGATTCTATACTTTTAATAACTCAAGACCTATATTGTTACAACATGTAATAGCAATAAATGATTGAATTGAATTGAATTGAATATCTAGATAGGAAAAATTTTAAAAGCACGTCCTTATCGTTAATAACGGGTCATTGCCCCTTAATAAATATTTTTGTGCACAATAGGATCCACAGACAACCCTTTTGCTGTTTTAACGCAGAAGAAACGGCTGCTCGCGTAATCTTGGAATGTGTAGCTGAGGCCCCTCAGGGTTCAGAAATCCTCGTGTGAAGTCGCTCCGTGAGGTCTGTGAAGATTCTATAAAGCTTTTGTGCTTGGGTGGCTATAGTAGCCATGACTCATATGTACAACGACCCAAATGAGAGACTAAAAGGAGTCCAAACTATATTATATAAAACTTTAATGCACAGTATGAATATATGTACATATGGCGGACTTGAAACCGGACAGTTATCTCTACCAATCAATCATTGGACAAACAGAGAAATAGGTAGACGGTGCATTAAAGAATTAAGGAACCATAAACTAATATTTAACATATTTACACGGTATAAATATATAGCTAGACTAAGTAACTTATGTAATATAAATATTTATTTATTTATTTCTTTTATTTATTCATTAGTACAAATATGTGTACATGGCGGACTTAATGCTAAAAGCATTCTCTCCCAGTCAACCATAGGGAAGTGTCAGAATACTTGAATGCGGTACTACTATTTATTGATATACATACATACTAAAATACATATTGACCTTATTAAAAGAACTATTTTACCAGTAAGTTAAATAATGTATAAATAAGCTAAAATATACATTTATATATTCACATTATTGTACATATTATGTCTCTATATGTATTAAAGAAACAAACGTTTTGTGCCCCCGATCAAACTGTTTATAATTACTCTTCTCCATCCAAATGTTGCTTGTAAGAGATCACTCTTATCGATAAGGCTATCCAAAAAATGAACTTTTACAAAATTTGGTGATGTAGTATTTAAATAATATCATGACTTAATTCGTATTAGATTTTTCTGTCTTTAATCATATGATAGCTAAATCCATTCAAAGTTGGCAAAGGTATGTAATTATTGTTGATTTAAAGATAAAAATACAGATTAAATGCATTAAATAATTGACTAAGTAAGTACCTACATACAGCCATAGTTATCTTTCAAGTGTTAAATATTCACCCACATACAGCTATAGTTATCTTCCAAGTGACAAATATTCACCTATATACAGCCACAGTTATCTTCCAAGTGACAAATATTCACCTACATACAGCCACAGTTCTCTTTAAAGTGTCAAATATTCACCCACATACAGCCACAGTTATCTTCTAAGTGTCAATATTCACCTACATACAGCCACAGTTATGTTTCAAGTGGCAAATATTCACCTACATACAGCCACAGTTACCTTTCAAGTGTCAAATATTCACCTACATACAGCCACAGTTATCTTTCAAGTAGCAAATATTCACCTATATACAGCCACAGTTATCTTCCAAGTGTCAAATATTTACCCACATACAGCCACAGTTATCTTTCAAGTGTCAAATATTCACCTACATACAGCCCCAGTTATCTCTCAAGTGTCAAATATTCACCTACATACAGCCCCAGTTATCTCTCAAGTGTCAAATATTCACCTACATACACCCATAGTTACCTTCCAAGTGAATATAAATAGGAGTCAACGTAAACGTTTGCATATTGAGTACACGTAACCACTACACTCGGGATAAATTGAAAATCCCGTGTGATTTTGTCAGTAGTACAGCTTTAGTGGCGTTTGTATGGAAGAGCTGTATAAGCGTACCAATTGAAATTCTATCCAACATGTAGCAAAAAATGAGATAAATTATAAATCTAGGTAAGTATCCCATATTCTTTTAGGTTTGAACAAATAATACAGCTAATATTAATATTTAGCATTTCTATCAAAAACATAAAATGTAAAAAAATGACAAGTCACTGGTTATTTCATTAGAATTATTTTGTTTAATTCCGCTACCATTAGTACGTTTGTGACTGCCAACATTCGAACACTACTATTACAACCAGAAGTTCCACCATCTTCCATATTAGCTATCAATCTTCGAGTGTTGGCAGACACATACTTACAAATTACAAACAAAATAGCTTTAATCGAATAACCAGTGGTATGGATTTCCATAAAATAACACCTAGTTCAGTAAAAAAATGCCAAGTCTTGCAACGTAGTGCTTTCACTATAAAAAGTTGCAAGATCTTATGTAAAACCAAGTCACTTAGTGTTTATGGAAGCACCTATTCAATAACATTATTATACACTGTTATCAATAACTTATCAACAGTTTTAGTAATAGCTAGTCTCGATAAAGAATAGGCCATCCCTTCCTTTCCCGCGGGTGTCATAAGAAGTGATGAAAAGAGCTTATGGTGGAGGGATGGGCAGCAGCCTCCTTTTTAAAACATCACCAAAAACCAAATTCCGTTTACTAACTCGTCTGGCAAGCTTGGCAATTACTAGCAAATCCTCCCTTAAGGGGAGAGGTTATGTTTAGCACTGGACAGTTAATGGCTGATACAACAATTTATAGTGATCCTATCAATATTAGACATTTTTATTTCTATAACATTTATAATGACTTGACCATAGCACTGCACCGTAATTATAAAAAGAATAATCTAACACAAATTTTACTATTTCAGTCACACTATTTATTATTTATTAAAACTAATGTTGTTTCAATTTATTTTCATAAATAATTAATTTAGTTTTACAGAAAAAAAAAACAAAAACACCGAGTTTAATTGTGACAAAATCTGTTATTTTCATATAAAAACCAAGCTTCTGATTTTCTGATAAATAATTTACTAAACTACTGAACCGATTTTGATAAAATTTCTATGAAATCAGTCTGAAAGTATATGCTTTCAGATACAAAAATAAAAAAAATGAGGGAATTATGAGGTAATAAATGTAAAAAAATACAAGCGAATTGAAAACTTTTTTATATTTTTTAAGTTGGTGAATTAAAATATGTCAAATATTTCATATTTTCTTAAAATTTTGATAAAGTTGAAAAAAAAATGTTGCCAGTTTTACAGACAGATAAACATACTCTCTGCATTCTTTTGTGAGTCTTATAGAAAATAATCTATGCTAATATTCGTAGTGTGCATTTACGTATTGGATACGTTACAATACGCTGGTCCAATGCGTGCTACAGAAAAGGGTAATGATATAAATAAAAAAATAAAAAAAAAATACAAACATGATGCTTTTAACTATTAGGTTTTCATGGGAGATTTAATATATTTAACCTTTTTTCGCACTCATTTGTTTAGGAAATATGTTCAATTCCACTAGTAAAATTCTGTCCTAGAATGACGCCTATAATTTTTATTTCGCACTATAGTACTCAGTCTAAGCGTGACATTAAAAGAAGTTATAAGAAAAAAAAAGATGAACCATAGACAATGGTTTATTTTAAATTTCATCGAATTGTAAAAACAATAATATTTTTGAACAAAAGTTTTCAAGCCAATGTTATTTAATAATTACAAGTGGCAGACAAGATAACGGCCCATTGGTAAATATAAAATTTTAACGTAATAAATAGACTCTTCGTACATTTATAAATATTTATACATTTATAAAACAATATAAATAGGCATTTCAGGCACTTTAGGTTGAATCTCGTAGACTAAAATGCTTTTAACTTGACTCAACATCATAAGTGGGCTGGTGTTTGGACAGGATCCGTATAATACATCAAAGCTCGCGACAAATGTTTACGTTATTTGGCCTGCACATAGAAACTTAAAACGATCCTAAAATAATTTATAAATACATTTTAATTATAGCTTCTAAAACATTAATTAAAACGCTAAAATGAGTGTTCATAAAATTTAAGACTTGGCAGCATGACCTGTGACCTTAGCCTATTCCTTTTGGAAACAAATGCACCAAAATAATAATAATAATGAACGTTCAAAGCAAAGTGCGGCAACATTGTAATTAGCTGTCAATTTTTAAAAACATTTGAACATTTTTCAATGTTACCGATTGATAATTTAAAATGCGTTCTTCTAGTCGATTCAAATGTCAATTATGCAATAATATTCTTATTAAGCTGTCACAGAAAATTTGGATTTTGATGGCAAAAATGTATTTGAAAAATTTCAAAGCAAAATGTGAAATAGATGCAAAGTTTTTATAATACATTTTTATGTAATATATTATATGATTAATATTTCAGTTCGATATCAGAGCACTTTATAATTCAGTCGGAAAAAAAATGTTTAATTGTTTTTAATAATTGACAGATAATCACAATGTTGCCACACTACGCTAAGCAAAGATTATGAATATTCTTAAATACGTTTTAATAAATTATGATATTTTTTTAACTATGAAATAAGAACAATTTGAGTCAAAAAAAAACTGACTTTTATGGTCATAATGATGATATATTGATTGATTGAAATAGAAAATAACATATCCCTTTTATAAAAATATATATGTATGTTTATACTAAATTTAATGACAATTCGTAAACCCATCAATGCCAAGAGGTTATATTATTTATATTTGTTTTTAATTATATCGTTATATAAAATTATTTCATTTATGCTGCTGTCTGTGTCACATCATTGTATGAATAAATTCTTTCTTTCTTTTTTCAAATAAACAAATAATTTTATTTCCATATTTAATATGTAATATTGTATTATTATATATTATTCGATATATAATA